AAAAAGATTATTAAATTTATTAAAATAAACATTCAACAAAGTGTACTGCAGACAATTGAAATCAAAAATTTGGTGTATTCGTTTTTTTTTTTTAAGAATATAATGAACAACTGTCACATCGATGCGCCTATTTACAACGTACCCGCAGAACAGATATATTACCAAACAATTAATACGAAACACCAAATATCCACAGTCTTCCAAAAATGGGTTAAATTAATTGTAACAGCAATATTAAATAAGTGCACTTTCTTTGCACAATTGCAATCAATCAGATTTTTAACTGTTTTTGATTCTGTGATTTTAATATTGACACTATAACTGCAATATTCTGGAATTTTTTTTTTTCTTTTTCAGACAGCTCATGTGGATATGTCTGTACAGGAATTTTATAAAACAGAACGTCACGTTACAGTGCCTTTTCAGTTCAGAATTTTGAGCTGAAAAAGCGTTCAGCTAAGATTTGGTGGTTCAATTAAAGCTTTTAGTTTTATCAACTATCTGCAGATTTATTTAATGGCAAACAGCACCCTCCAATAATAGTATTATTAGAACTATAGATGAAGAATAAATTTGTGTTTACTGTCAACGTACTGCCGACGTTGTAAATTTAACCCTTTCTAAAACATTTAGTTTTTTGTTGTAATAATGTCAAGAATAAAATTATTAAAATAATTAGTTTATTGGTTATCTCAGTCTAAACCAAAAAAAAAAAACTTTGCTTTGCTTAGTTACTGAACGTACTTAAGTAATTTTTAATGAAACCTCTTATTAGCCTTTTTCATAGAAAAATTTTCTTGTTTTTATCTCAATCTGTTGCTAAAAAACTTTTTTTTGATTATCTTATGTAAAATACAAACTAAAAAAAAAGAACAAATAATCTGAAAGATTCTTACAGCTAATGGCATATTTGAGTCAAACAAGTAAAAAATTTTTGAAATAAAACCTCATTGAGTTCAGTTAATCGACAAATTTTAAAACCACGTTTTGAACACTTAATTTAAATGTTCTATTTAAGAACTTAATCTATGGCTGTCTAACAGTTAATAATCTAGTAATTTGTTCTTTCTTACTACAAACAATATATTATTTAAGAAAGTAAACTGAAAGCCAATAATTTGTTAAGTTTTTTTTCATTACAGAAGTAACTGTTATTGAAATATTAACTTTTACAAGCTTTTAATATGATCGATGTGAGTGGAATTAAGAACACTGTATGAAATTTATACATCTGCAAAAAATTTCAAAAAATTTTTGGTAGAGTATGTCCAAATTTATTTTGAGTTTGATATCATTTATAGCTGTTTTTTTTGCTGTTTTATATGGTCAGTTTTGTCCTCATAGCAAACGCTTAAAATGTCACAAATACTGCACAATGTAAAAAACTAATTTTTTTTTGACATTTTTTTCCAGTATTGTTTTATAGTACTAAACGAAACATTGGGAAACAGAGCTGAACAACTGGTTTAACCAATTGCTACAACAGGCACTTTAAACAGATATATTGACTTAACAAAACACTGATAAAGTTTTGAAACCGGACTTAGAAAAAATATGAGAAATCTAGACAGACAGTCGTTGAACTGGAATACTTGACAACAGCATGTTATTGCCATCAGAATACATGTTTTAAAGCATCACATTAATCAAGCACCAGTTGCCGCCTCAGACGTTGTAATAGCATAGAGATGTAACTGAATCAAACTGATAACAAGTGAAAAATTCAACGAATGCAGAAAAAAACATTGGTTTTCTAAGCAGTACTTATACTGAATATACTTGCTATATTCACAACAGATGGAACCGTAACTTGGGTTCAATCTTCAGAACAATATGAAACATCTTTGTTAAGCTTACAAAGCTTATTGACCTCGATATCGCTTAACTGAACAGAACAAGCTTTAATAGCATCAGAAAGTTGTTCCACATTTGTTACCGACAGCATAAGTCCAAAGCCACAATGAATAATCCAAGTGGTTAAGAGTTGCTGAATTAAGTGCCGTTGCTCATTTAACAGATCAACAAATCAACAAAGCATGACAAAAATTTAGCAGATATTTTTACAAAAACAAAGTTTTCTTGATCTTCTTTATTCTGGCTTATTTTCAAAATTTTAATCATTTTACCTAACCTCTATGTAACTGTTATACTTTTTAAAATGTTTGCGCAATTAATAACTAACAAAATTTCTATTAGATTCTTTCTTCAGCTAAATTTTTTAAAAGATTCTAAAACTTACTGGAATAGTCAGTTGTTTAGATTCTGCAACACTTGCAATGGTATTGTCATTATTGAAATTTGGATGGAACTCTCCCAATAAATTTTTTGCCTAAACTTTACAAGGCACATCTCCAAAGTTTGCATATAACGTTAATAAATTTTTGAACAGTTTTAACTGCAAAAAAATTAAATACTAAAATTTTTTTTTTTAGTGCTTTCTGTTAACACTAAATTACTGATCCCTTTCTGATTGCATATGGTATATGTGTATTTTCTATTCAACGTCACTCAGAAAGCAAAACTTTGTCCTAAATTTAGGTACTTAATCATACAAAGCTACCACATAATCATAGCGTATAACAAATATGTAAAGACTTATAACTGTTTTCATAAAAAACTAAAACAACAGAAAAAAAACTGTAGAAAAATGCGAAGTATATTGACATTTTAATTTTGAAAACTTTTCAGGTTTTTACCTTCTCTGTGTTAAACATAAATATTCACAGTTTGTCACAGACACTGACCAACTCCAGAAAATTACCAAAGTTACTTATTATTTGAGTAGACAGCCAAATGTTGAGCCAAAGAAGTAGAACAGTTGATTTTGTTGATATATTTAGTAAACAAAAAAAAAAAAAATTACAGTTGCTTACATTTTCGTTAACGTTTAGTTTATAGATAAACAAAAAGCAAAAAAAAAAATAAAATAAAATAAAAAACTAAAACTGGCAGTTGCTCTTTGATTTTGTCAACTTAATGCGAATTACTTATTTAATTACACAAACCTGAACAAACATTTTTTCTTCTAGTGCAAACTGAATAAGATCTTCTCTGTAGTAATGCGGATGTATCTCCAGCTGCAGTATTGATGGCGGATACTTAGCAAAGCTTTTAATTTCAAATATATGATGAAACTCAAAGTTGCATAAACCAAACATACGTATCTTCCTCTCTACTGCAAAAAACAAAAAAAATGGGCCTAAAACTTGGTCAGTTTTCTTTTAAATTAAAATTTTTAGTCTCTCAAATCAGTCACTGTTTCACCGCTGACTATAAGCTATTATATCAGCATCTAACATGATTATTTGAATAAAAAACCTACAGAATAAAGCTTCCAGTTCTTGATATGCCAATCTTCGACGTCTTTTATTTTTCGTGTCGCTATCGGTTGTGCCCGGCGCATATGGTGATCGGAGTATGACAACGTCAAGAAACGTGGTATGTAAACTATCAATTGTTTCTTCTATCTGTAATCAAAAATAAAAGACATAAAGTGTTCTTTTATTCTTGGATATTCTGGTAAAATATTATATTAATAGCATGTAGTTTTGCAGACATCTATGCATTAAAGGTATTGTAGATAGTGTTAAGGGTTCAGTTATATGCACAGATTCGTTGTTTGGACTAGTCATGTCTAAGATGACTAGTTTCCCAGTCAACAAACTGTCCACTTATTTCTTTTTGATCATACAAACAACCAGAATGATTTGTACTTCGAATGTTACAGTTTAAAGGTTATTTACAAAGAAAAAAAATAAAAAATTAGGGAACTTTTGAGATGTAAAATTACAAGCAAAAAAAAAAAAAGCTTCTAATAACTTGTCGTCTAACTGCAGCAGCTACATCATCGGTCTGTATTTCAACTGTAGCTATAAGCTTTATGTCTGTTCGTTTCAAATTTAACCGGTCAATAGCATCCTAAAAATGTTTTTTAGTAGGCATAAGTATAAACCGAGTAGACTGAAAATTGATTTTAAATTTTTTTTTTTTTACTTTAATTGTATTATATGTATTGTTGAAATAAGAAAAAAGCACAAATAAATCGCTCAACATTAATTGCTTGGCTAATAATTTCCAAATTTCCATTGAACAATGAAACTTCAAAACATCGACATCCTTTCCGGATGGCTACTTCAATAAATTCTTTAGTTTCTAGCGGTTCGATAAGATTCCCGGTTTCAATGCCAAAATATGGCAGTGTATAAGAAGTTTCTTGAAACGTAAAAATATTACCCGCAATTGTCGTTGACAAACCATTCTCTTTATCAGTCATTTTGTCTAAAATTTTTAAAAATACAAATGTTTTGTAATTTGCCTAAAAGTATAGCGGAGTTATAGATTAGGCCAAATGTCTTTTAACAGCTCCTACCGAATACACATAGTTAAATTGTGATATTACGCTGAATTTACCGTATAAATATAGCAATTTGATTACAAAAAAAAGAAAATTATCAGTAAAATAAGTTGAAACTTTGACAAATGACTAAATTACCCGTATCGCTTAACAGACAATTAGTCAAATAAGCAATAAACAGCTTTACATGCTGCTCTTATCAATCACCAAATAGGCATGAAAAAATTGGGGTTATTGAAAAAAAAAGCAGGATTTTAGAACAATAAAGCAGTAAACTTTAAGCAGTAAACAAATAGACAAAATTAACTTGGGAACTACTTAATTTAAAACTACAGTTTTTTTTACTACCTTTTTAGTTACTTTACTACTTTTTCAGTTTTTTTTTGTGTGTTAAACTTAGAATATAATTTCATATTCTTCTACAAATTTTGTTCAGTGTACATAGACTTTTTAAAGAATTATAAAAGCGTTCCAAGTTTTACGGTTATAAAATTATTCACTGACGATTTATGTAGAGCAATAGTAAGCTATTTTGATAAAAAATTTAACTAAAACCTTGTATTTGACTAAGATTTTTAGCTGTTAAATACAGAAACAAAACAAGCAACTAAATGAATTTCTAAACTGTACAAAACAATCATATTGCTCAATAGGGAGAGTATTAAAAAATTGTTGATAAAATATGTATAAAATCATTAACAGTTAAAATACAGTTAATGTTCAAATTAACAGTATCTATCTATCAGATTGCAAATGTTAAAAGCGACAGCAAAACCTCTTCATCAAAACTGTTAAAACTGTCAAATGAGATTAATAAAAGTGGGCTTTAAAGTGGCAAACACTTAGTGTCCGCAGGGGTGTTAATTATTTTGCTTCTTTTTTCAAGCACTTCATCTTATTTTTTTTTCGTTTTTAATAAATCTTAAAAAAATAAATAAATAAATAAAAGAAAAAAATCCTGTTTTCTTCCTCATCTTTATGCTTTCTGTTTTGTCTTTACCTTTCCTCTTGACATGTTTTAGTTTTTCTTCGAAAAACTAACATTGTGCTGAACTGTTAATTTTTGTGCGCATCGATACAGAGTCTGAAAAAAAAAAAAAAAAACAGTTCTCAATGCTGATGAGTTTCCGCTTGGTATGTCACTGTTGGTCGGTTACATTTTTTCAATATATCTTAACCTGAAATATGAGATAATGAAAACGTAGAAGAGAAGAGAAAAAAATGATAAAAAAATAAAAATTAAAAAATGAAAAAGTACTCAGTAATTTTGACTACCAATGCTAACTGTAATATTTGTTGCTTAAATTTAATAGTTTTAAGACAGACAAAAAGAAAAAAGTAGATAAGACTAAAAAATAATTTAATTTGTACTATATGTTTTTTTTTTTTATCACTTTACAATTGTAAGAATCTTCTAAGAAATTTGTTTCTTTACTTACTGCTTTATTTAGTCATCTTATTGCTTGCCGCTTTGCAGATATAATTGTAACCAAATTGGCTAACTGTCTATACCGATGTTCTTTAACGATTTACGTATTCAACAAACTGTATATATATATAT